GCTGCCAATTGATCTGGGTTTTCATTTGCATGGGACTTTCTTTTCCTTGCTGCAGCCTTGGCTCTTTTGATTGCAATCTGGTCCTTTGTTGGCAGAGATTTTTTTTTGTGAGGCATACTGCTGCCATATGTGATGGACAACAATAAATTACAGAAGAATTCAAAATTGATCATTGCATTTAAGTATTGCATTAATATTTAAGCTTACCTTTTAAAAGTTGAACAATAATTTCTACTGCTACCACTTAATTTAAAGACAATTTGATGCATGTAGGTCCTTACTTTCCATACAAACAATTATTTTTATTTCATGGGTGACTTTTGCTGGATTTTGCAATTAATTTCAATTATTCCCAAATTTATTTCCAAGTTATAAAAATTGTTGCTATACAAAAAACTTTGTCACAAAAAAAAATAATGTAAAGAATCACCAAAAACAATCACAGTAATGAAAACTTGGGAGTCCAAAATTTCAGGATTGCAGAGCCAGATTCTTCCTGCAATATTTTTAATTTGCGCATGGAGTCAACCTGATTCCAAAATGGTATGATATTTTGGGCTATGGCTTCTAGGAGTAAATTTGAAAATGTGTGATACACTGACATTCGCATTTATTTATTTACATATGCATACATATACATTTTATTGATCCCAGCATCTGAAGTAGTGTTGGATATATTTTTCTTCCTAATTATGTCTCCAATTGTCCTGGAGGTAGCAGTAAAGGCCCTAGTTTTGGAGATAACTATTTTCAAATTTTGTATTGTTAGAGGGGAGGATTATGAATTTTGTATTGCTGATGTTAGAAGTGCTGTCAGTGATGTCTAATTTGGAGGGGATTTGTGGACTTTATATGTCCATTTATATTTATATATATATATATATATGACAAAGTGGAAAAAGTTTTCTTGTGGCACATTTCATCCTTTAGGACTTCATCAGACTAAATTTTTTTATATTGGTGCAACTACATTTGCTTTATTAATGTGGGATGCTGGGAATTTTATTTTTTTTTTTAATTTAGATTCGTTTTCTTTTCATCACATATTCCTGGCGAACATCTATTATCACAGTGTGGGTTATCTAATAACAAAATTGATGAAAAGAAAAAGAATTTAAATGAAATCAACTAGATTAAAAAAAAAATTTTAAATTTAAAAAAATGTTACATTGCCACCATCCCTCATTCATGTACATATGTAGTTGCACCAACATAACAAATTTATTTTGATGAAATCCTAAAAGCCGAAACGTGTCACAAGAAAACTTTTTCTACTTTGTCATACATTTTTCTCCCCAACATTGTTCTTCATATATAAAGTATGTATCATTCTTTCTCTCTCTCTCTCTCTCTTTTTCTATATATATATATATATATATATATATATATATATATATTATAATAAAAAGAAAGAACAGTAAGATATATAATCTGGTGTTCTTATTGATATTTTTATTTTTACAAAACAGTGCTCAGTGTAAATTTACAGAGCATAAATATTATAAATTAACTGATTTAAAATATGGTTTCTTCGCTACACAGGAATTACCAGGTTTCAAAAACCAAAGCTAAAAACTTCAAATTTAATATATATATATATATATATATATATATATATATATATATATATACTTTTCATTTACTATGTAAGTAATATAATATATAAGAAAATTTTTATATGTATTGTCTATAAGTTAGAGAATGATCCTTAACATTCTAAATTTTGCTCAGACAGTTGAATTCATTCTTCTCATACTTGATGTTATTAATAACACTTTAGCTGATCCATTCTTCAACCCTCATCAGGTGTTGCCATATTTTGCTGTAGAATCTCTGACAGAAACCCTTTGCTAACCTGTAGGTGAAAACAATGATGTTACTAACATTTGTGGGATAAGGTATTGGAACGACTTGCTCTTTTGGTATGGTATGTTAATTGACCTGGAGAAATAAAACTTCTTCATTTTTACCTACCACTACTTACATTACACTGCTTGTTTAAATAGTTTGAGGATTTCTGGTAGTCACAAATATTCCAAATAAAAGTTGAGTCAAAGAGGAAATAATCTTTCACATTTTGGCAGATAATTTTAGCTTGATCTTTGCAGGGCCACTTGTCAATTTTTATGAATGAATCTGAATGGAATGAATGTGTGTGAAGAGCCAGAAGATGATTTAGTCTGCTTGTCTGTGTGCATTTTTACTATTTGTGTCACTTGTTGAGTGGCCAGATGGATCTGACTGATATATCTATATAATCATAGGTCTATTGAGAAGTGCCAACCTGCTGTTCACTTTGGACTAATTCCAAGTAGCTATGTCTCTTGACATTAACATCTCTGTTTTGATCAGTTTGTCTTTGTTATGCATAATATTGGCCACCAGTCTCTTCTTTGCACTCTACTAAACAAATGTTTGTAATTATTTTCAGTACTTTTTCATTTAACTCTTTATAACATTTTCTGACAGGCAGAATTATTAGTGGCTTCTATAACAGTTCTTTTCTCCATTAGTTTCATTTATAAAATGTATTTTCTAGTTGCAAAGCTTAAAAATACAAAACTATTATCATCCTTCATAAAGATGAACTTGTAGAGATATTCTGGTGTTATATTTAATTAATCGTTTTAAGAATTGGTGTTTCAAGTTACTATGTGCACAATTCATTGAAAACTGGTGAATATATGCTACCCTGTCAGTCTTCTATGTGTCACATGCCTTGAGGACATGAGCAATCATGTTTCTCCACATCTTCCTATCCCCAGTAGCTCTTAGTATGATTTGTCTTTTTGTTATCTGTCCCAATCCCTGTCCTGCCATCCATTTAAACAAGGTAGGGGTTACTGACATTGCTTTCCTCTGTCCCTCTTACTTTCAATACATGCTTCTCCAGGTACTCTTTCCTCATTATGTATCCTAGATATTTTAACTATTTCTTCTAAGCATAAGTGTCCTTTTTGTTTCCATTTGACCTAAAACTTACTCAAATTTTAAGTCCATGGCATTATCAGCATCCTTCTGTAGAACTACTTTTCTGTTGCCTCACGTCTCTTCTTCATCTACAAGGAGGCTATTCAACATTCACTGACATAAAGGATAACTGATATTACATAAGTTTTGTACTCTTTTCTTTGTTTCTGATGAAATTAGCCTGTTTCCTAATACTTTGCCTAGCTTTTGGAAGTTATCTTTCACTATTCCAATGCACCTTTGAATTTTAGTGTCACATTTTCCAGATATTTAAACTTCTGTACTTACTTGATGCTTAGTTTTTTTCTTCTCACTTTATTTTAATACCCTCTCGAGAAGCTCCTGCAGTTTCCTTTCTGTGTCTGCTATTGACACTGTCATCTTCATATCATATGTTGTTAAGATTGTGTCCACCAATAAATCCTCATAGGACTTCCAGATTTCTCAGTATCTCCGTACTCTAAAGGTTGAATAAGTCTAGTGAGAAGACATATCCTTATCTTACATCCGTTTCTATTTTTGTGTATTTACTGAATTCATTTCTATCTACGGATAGCAGACAGTTTGCTCCCAGTATAAGTTCTGGATTATTATATTTAGCTTTCCTAAATATGTCAAGCTTATCTAGCAGTTCAAACAATTCTTTATGTCGAATCATCAAACCAGAATACATAATTATATTGAAGAAAGATGTCATTTTTATTTATTTTATTGTATTTACAAGTGTCATATCTCTTTTTTATTCAGTTATGTTTTGCAATAAGTGATGCTAAAATACTTTCCATAATACTTAAAGGATTTAGCCTCTGTGAAAAGTTTCAGTGTTTACATTGAGACATTTTTTCCATCTATCTTTTTTTTTCTTTTCCAGAAGTTTCTCATAATCCAAGGAATTTTTCCATCAATGTGAATTAGAGTTTTATGGCTGTAGATTAGCAAAGCAATCAGTTTTAGTCAAAATTTATCATTGATGTAATAAATATAGTTTTAGTCAAAGTAGCTTTTAAATGCAGGTGATTAACAAAATGTTACCAATGTAACGGTAAAGGACAGCAGATATTAATGACTCATCAATCTTTGTGTAGAAACTAAAATTTAAATAAAGATATTTTATTCTTGTAATATCTTGAAAGTTATTCCTTCCATCATTTTTATTGGGCAACTATAAATTGGTGAGAAAGACCATATAATATTATTTCACAAGTGTCTATCCAATGACTAGTGTCTTTTCTTATCAACTTTCAGTTTTGATTGAAAAAAAATTAACCTATCAGTAAAAGGCTGTTTCAATATTTTTGCCTATAAAATTTTCTGAACCAGCATTTTCAGTTTTAATCTTGAGAAACAAATTTTCAAAAAAAAAAACTGCAAGCATTAGTAATTTTCTACTCATTTTCAGACCATAATTCTGAAATGGTTTTAGAATCAACTGCAAATATATTGGTTTTCTTGTCAATGCTAACACCTGAGAATAACTTATTTAAATATTGTTACAAAAATGTTTGTGAAAAAGATTGAAATGTGCATCCTTGTTCAGTGATTCCTGAAGGACACATTTATATAAAAATCACAATTTTTTTTCCCTAATTTTGATTAAGGTGGAATATTTATCAGTAGAAAAACAAAATAGTTATTATAATAATAACTCAATTTCACTTAGTTTAGCTCTAATTGTGTGCAAATATCTTGATATTATAACAAACAACAGTCTTATAAATATTCTATTTCCAGTGTTGGCAATAGTCAATAAACTAGTAGATTTGTATAAATCGATGCTACATAATTTGATATTTCTCACACATGGTTCATAAAGATTTCATGAGTGTAAAACTCTAATAAAGTGTTCATTTTGCTTTAGTAATGAACCTCCATTTTCTTATTTTTTTTTATATAGCAGCATGTTTTCAAATGAATACCAAGGAAAAATCTTGAATTATTTGTCATTCTGTGAATGTTTGTCTTTAGATATTTAATTATTGTGGATACTGCTAGAATTCATTGGCTTATTTTTCCTTGTTTCAGAAAACCGTATGATTATTTTGCCCAAGCAGTTGGAGGATATACCAATTGCATCAGAGTTTCCATCAGTTAGGCATCGTTGGAATACAAATGAGGTAAGTTTGAATTTTGTTTCTCAGCTTGGAAATCATTGAGGGCATGACAATTTGAAATTGACTTTGTATTGGTGTTTGAACAATTGTCCCAATTCATAGACAGTATGCAGAACAAATCATCTTCCATGTACATTTCTAAAATAAACACTAATGAATAGCATCCTTCAAACACTGACCTTCAGCTTGCCGTGTCTCATTACTGATTCAAAAATTCACAGGCAAGTTGAATGTTGTTTTATGTATGCATTTTAGTGTATATTTAGATTTATTTGAATCAGCATATTTGATTATAGCTTTGGTGATCAGTATTTGGATGGTTCATATTTTTTTTATCTCTACACGGATGATTACCTAAATTATGTCAAAGGCCTTTGACAAGGTGTGGTATAGAAGGTTGTTACACAAACTCTCCAGCTATGGAATCTCTGGAAGAGTTTTTTCAATTATCATAATTCCTAACAGGTAAGTTCATAAAATTGTTCATAAAATTGTTGTTAATGTCGTCTTTTGAAGCCCATGAGATCAATGCAGGCATTCTCTAAGGTACCCTTCTTGGTCCTACTCTCTTTCTGCTTTTCGACCACTAAAATCTTAACCTCTTCAACTCTAGGGTTAATTGTTATCTTTACCATATATCCTCATAAACTGCATTCTTACTCTTACTGCTCATACAACAAATGCTTTCCATAATCCTCTACCTTAAGTGTCTCTTTGGCCTTGTATAGCGTGAATGTTAGTAAAAAAGCAGCTGATCCCTATTCTGACCTAGCTTTAATGGTTCAATGGGAGAAAAATTGGCTTGTAACTTTTAATACCCCCAAAATTAAACTAGTAGCATTCCATCATCACCAAGCAGACTCCAAACTTTCATCTATCATGAATGGTTGTCCTCTCAATGAGGCTCCTTACCTTGAATGTCTATTCACCCAAGACCTCAAGTGGAACTCATATGCTGTAAAAATAGTCAGTTCTTTGTACCACTCCAGTAAATACCTGACTTCTCTTGCTATCCTCTGTCTTTACAAGAGTCTGATCAATTCAAAAATGGAGTACTGCTGACACATCTGGGCTGGAGCTGCCCAGTCCTCACTTTCCGTCCTTGATAGAGTCCAGAAATGTCTTCATGCCCTTGTGGATAATGAATTATTTTCCACTCTATAACCACTATCCTACAGATGAACCATTTCAAACTTCTGGCTACTCCATTGCTATTTCCATGAAAAATCTTCTAACAAGATACATTCTTTACTTCCACCAGTTCTAACCTTCATAGCTATGATCCTCTGTGCTACATACACTGGAAGAAATTATCCCAATTCTCTTCATATTCCATTAGTAAGAAAGAAGTTACATTCGGACAGCTACTTTATAGAACAAATTCCTAAGAGGATGTTTCTCCAAACACTACAATCTTAACCTCTTCAAGCCTAGGGTTCACTTACCTTTCCTACATATCCTCATAATCTGCACTTAGTTCCTTCTCTTATATGCATCAACTTCATTCAGTAATCTACTTTGAGTGGCTCTTGGGCCTTGGGTGAACAATTAGTATTAAAAAAATATGAAACCCTTTTTGTGTTTATTAATGTATTATATTTGCAAGATGATAAAAATGAATGCAAATTAAATTAATCTTTATTTAAGTCAATAAAGTTATAACATAAATGCAATTTTTCTATTGGTCAAAATTAAAATTATCAAGTTTTGATGAAAAAACAAATATGGCAGTAATCCAGATATCTTCCTTATTTCAAAATATCCTGACACAGAGAAAATGTTTTTGTAATTGAAACAAATGATAGTCCAAAAATACTAGTAACTCATATTAGACAGTACCTGTCATGGTTAAAATTTATAGCAAAACCTTCTATAGATGAAGACCTGGTTTCAGTTTTGGGAACAGTTTGATAGAGGATGAGAATGAATCCTGTTTGCATTTGTTGTTGAGATGCAATAGTCATTTCTCATCTACTGTAACAATCCAGTAATTAAAATGGAAGTATTCATTTCTGGTCAACAGACTTTTATAAATGATTGAATGTTGTACTTGATACTTGGGTAAGAATATGCTTAAAGATATTTTATAGAGTTGAACATAATACTTTGAACTTTTTGATAACTTTCTAGTGGAGGATCTGCTTCAGTAGATCATTATCCAAAGTGGTTGGCCTTCCAGTATAGAGCTTTTTTTTTTTTTTTTTTTTTAAGCATTGTGCCCCAAGCAAAGCGTGAAGCCACTAGGATGCAGGGGGGTTTGGAGCGAGAGCAGATAAGAGTGATAGGAGAAAGGAAGAGGAGAAGGATAGTGGGTAGATCAAGGTAACTGGAGATGTCGATTGACATTACATTTGAATAGTTGGAGATTATAGCTTTGGGAAACAGTAATTGGGGAGGGTGTTCCACTGGCGAGAGGTGCGAGGTATGAAGCTATTGGAGTAGAAGAGACGGCTACATTTGAAGGTTTCTACGGTGTAAGGGTGAGGCGTGATGCCAGCCTCATAGGGCGCTTGAATTCATGGAGTCTGGGAACCAGAGAGAGCAGCTCATCAGAGCAGTTACCATGGAAGTATTTGTAGAAAAAAGACAGAGAGAGGCGACGGCGCGTCTGTGAGAGAGTGACTGTAAGCAAGACGCTAGATCTGGGCCAATTAGATTACATATCCTTCTCTGGATCTTGTCGAGAACTCCGAGGTAAGCAGAAGGTGCTCCAGCCCATATATGGCAGCAATACTCCATGCAAGGGCGAATGGTTGTTTTATATATTTGAAGTATCGAGTCAGGGGAGAAAAATTTCCTGGCTCGGCACAGAGAGCCAACTTTCCTCATGGTGGAAGAAGCAATTGACTCAATGTATTTGTTCCATCTCAGGTCAGCAGTCAGCGTGAGACCGAGCAGACGCAGGGAGTTGCTCTCAGGAAGTTGACTATCAGACATTTTAATGGGGGGCAGGGAAGGATCTCTATGGTGGTTAATGGAGAGTAATTTAGTTTTAGTGGCGTTAAAGTTGACCAGCCAATTCTTGCCCCAGTTAACAATTGATTGGAGGTCCATTTCAAGACGCACGGCCAGGTTAGTTTTGTCGCCGACACTAGACTTGTTTTTGAGGCAGGAGTAAATTGTAGTGTCGTCTGCATAGATGCCGACCTGGGAATTTATAGCTTCAGGAAGGTCGTTGATGAAAATGAGGAAAAGAGTGGGGCCAAGGATGGAGCCTTGGGGCACACCTGTGTTAATGGGGTAGGAACTGGAGGAGAATCCGTTGAGAACGACCTTCAATTCTCGGTTAGACAGGAATGATTGTATTAGATCAAACAGTTGACCAGTAACACCATACCCTGGAGCTTCGAAGAAGCCCGGCGTGCCAAACCCTATCGAATGCTTTGGAGATGTCGAGGGCCACAGCACGAGCCTCACCGTTATTTTGAAGGGCTTGATAGACGGTTTCAGTGATGGCCGTAAGCACATCAGCTGTAGATCTGGCGTGAGCGGAAACCATATTGCTTGTCTGAGAGCAGATTATGGGATGTGAGGTGATTAACCACTTCGGCATTGATTAGGGCTTCAAGACTTTGCCGAACAGGGGTAGGAGACTAATAGGACGGTAATTAGTGGGGTCAGAGGGGTCTCCAGAGTTCTTAAACACAGGAACAATGGATGAGGACTTCCAGCAGTCAGGAAAACATGATTCCTTGAGGCAGTAATTATACAGTTTAGAGAGGGCGGGTGCTAGCTCAGGCGCGCATTTCTTCAGGACAATGGCTGGTATGCCGTCTCCACCACTAGCCTTGTGGGGGGTCTAAAGTGGAGATAATGCCCAGTACCAATGACGGGGTTATGTGTAAGCCGCACAGTAAGGCCTCAGTTCTAAGAGGGAAGTCTGGTATGGGAACACCGGTGGAATCGAGCATTGAATTAAATGAGAATTTCGAGCAAAGCATTCAGCCTTGTCGGTAGGGGAGGTCAAGACCTCGAACTGGTTGAATAAAGGAGGTATGGAGGGTTTTCGATTATTCAGGACACTCTTGCAGACTCGCCAGTAATCTTTGGAGCCAAACTTGTGAGATGCAACACGTTCCTTCATTCGAGCAGCAAATATTGACTTAGCTTCGTTGAGGACACGCTTACACTCGTTACGGGCAGAGGCAAAGAGACGTCTATTGCAGTCAGACATGTCGCTACGGAATCGGTGAAAGAAGTGATTCCTGTGGGCGATGGCAGATGAGCAAGCAGCGGAGAACCAAGGGGAGGAGTGCGACTTGACCTTAAATTTCCTTGAGGGGATGAAAGCGTCGATTCCAGTTTTAACCCAGGATGAGACCTCAGAAGCACATTCTTGGACAGGGAGTGAAAAGACAACATCCCAGGGGACATCGCGGAGGAAGTCACGGAACGAGTCCCAATCCGCTCGTTGATAGTAGAACGAGGTTCTTGTGATGGGAGGTTCCTTGCAGGGCGTGGAGTTGAAGGAAACATTGACAGATACCACAGCGTGATCAGAGTTGCCAAGCGGGCAGAGCTGTGTGGTGCTACAAGATTAGGGGATGGAGGTAAAACAGTCAGCCATTTTGAACTTGCTAAATCATTACTGGAACACACATACCCAGTCTCTCCACCTGGGTACAGTGCATAAATATTCTTCATTATATTTGTTGAATTACTGCTTATATGAAATTCAAACAACATGCAATGTTGAACGTGATTTTTATTATAGTCTTTGTATCCAAAATATATATAAGAAAAAACATTAACTCTTTGGCCTAATCATGAATGAAGAAAATCATTTATTTTAACAACTGATTTTTCTTTTTTGCAATATAATATTGTATCTATGTGATTAATATTGACTACTGCATTAAATCGTGGGGATTATGTTGAAAAATATACTTTTTTTATCATGACATACTTACATACATACATGCATACATATATATGATGATTGTCACTTCTTTGCAGAAGAAGACCATCTCTTCACTTGGTAGCTTTTGTTTTTTGTGTTTTTC